CACTTTGGTTTCCAGGTCTAGCGCTCCCTGTCCCTCACACAGGACAGAATGCAACAAGGAAGCCCAGCATTGAGAAAGCAGGTCACACTGCAGGATGAAGAGCGCAAGGGAGCACCAAGGCAAAGTCGCATGAGCCACTGCAGCAAGAGCCACAGCAGGCAGGCTGCCCGAAAGGAGGGTGTGGGGGCCTGACACCAAGGGAAGGGCCTGGGGACAGAGCTCCGAGCACAGGCCCCAAGGACTGATGGCCGCTGCAGGCAGGAGTGTACCGGAAGTTCTGCAAAAGGACCCCAGGCCTAAATGGGGGTTAACGACAGAGAGATTAATGGCAGTTTTCAGGAGTTCTAATACCTTTGCATGAGAAGAAAAAAAAGACAGTAAGATACTAGAACTCGTCTCCATCACTATTTGTACTATATGTAGGCCAAAGACCCTCACTATGATGAGCCTCAAGCCCTGCCTCTTGGTCCCTCTACGGGCCTTCCATTGCCCGGGACATAGGGACCCTCCTCTCTCCCCAGCCTCAGGCACATTTGCGTCCACACTGTACAACTACTTCTCCTCAGGACATTAGCAGCTTTTCTGGCTGTGAGCTAAGGACAGAGGGGCTGATGTCACTGTTGAAGAGATCTAATACCTTCGCGTGAAAAATAAATAAATAAATAAAATAGAGAACTCATCTTCATCTCTATTTGTAGTTAAGTATGTAGGCAAAAGATGCAGTTCCTCATTTGAAAAGATTTCTGAAAATCCACATGTGGGAGGTAGGTAGACTTGTTTTGTGTGGAATTATATGTGCTATAATTTATAAATTCATTACACAAAATTTTAATTCCTTCTTAGCAACTTTTAGGTAGGAGTTTAATTCATTCTAAATGAGCCTCGTTATGAACTCTGTCTCCCTATCTCTCTCTCCCTCTCTCTCTTTCTTTCTCAGATATTACAATGCCTGTGCTGTAAAATATAAAACTGCCAAGTGAAAAATGCAGGATTTGGGCTGGAGCAATAGCACAGCGGGTAGGGCGTTTGCCTTGCACGCAGCCGACCCAGGTTCGATTCCCAGCATCCCATATGGTCCCCTGAGCGCCGCCAGGAGTAATTCCTGAGTGCAGAGCCAGGAGTAACCCCTGAGCATCGCCGGGTGTGACCCAAAACGCAAAAGAAAAAAAAAATGCAGGATTCAGAAATTTGGGATTCTGGCTTCCCCCTTTAATTTGACCATGTAAAAAATAAAAAGGCCCTCCCGTTGATCGTCGATTTGCTCGAGCGGGCCCAGTAACATCTCCATTGGAGACTTTGTTGTTACTGTGTCTGGCATATCGAATACTCTCGGTAGCTTGCCGGGCTCTCCGAGAGGGGCGGAGGAATCGAACTCAGGTCGGCCATGTTGGCCGCTTGTAAGGCGAACGCCCTACCTGCTGTGCTATCACTCCAGCCCTTGACCATGTAACCTCAGTCAAATCACTGACTTCTCAGAGGGTAGATTTTTCTCTGCTATGCATGGAACTACCCACTTTGCTTAGCAAATAACAGGATCATCACAAAGAAGAAATTAAGTGACACATCCAAAAATGCTCTATTAACCAAAAAGAATCTGAAAACCATCTAGAATTATTATTCTCTTCTCCCTGAGTTTAAAAAAAAATCCCATAATAAAATTAAAACATATAATATTATTGATAAAAGAAACCTCCTACTGGAAAACCTCATATTCTAATTCTGGAGCAAAAAACATAAAGTCAGAGCCAAAGTGATAGTAAAGCAGAAAGGGCGCTTGCCTCGCATGCAGCTGATCCAGGATCAATCCCTGGCACTCCATATGGTCCCCCAGGCTGACTGGGAGTGACTCTGGAGCACAGAGCCTGAGCATTACTGGATATGACCAGAAAATTACTATCACTACATCACCGTCATCTTGTTGTTCATCGATTTCCTCAAGCAGGCACCAGCAACGTCTCCTTCATCCTAGCCCTGAGATTTTAGCAAGTGCCACATTCGAGGCTCTTTCAGGGTCAGGAGAATGAGACCCATCATTGTTACTGGTTTTTGGCAGACTGAATATGCCACGGGGAGTTTGCCAGACTCTGCCGTGTGGGCAGGAAACTTTTGGTCGCCTGGCTGTCTTCACTGGGGCCCCTTGGAGGAGGGTGGGTTGAGTTTCCCTCCCCACCTTGAGAAGAGCCCCAGCAGCTGAAGACCTCTGGTTCCAGCCACAGCCATGCTTAAGACCACTCTCCACACGCTCGGACGAGCCTCATGCAAGAAGCAACCGGCAGAGGAACCCAGGTGTGCGGGACCCGGGGCGTAGATCTCCAAGCCTGCTCGGATTGGGACTGGGCCTCCTCCACCCAGATCCCCCATCTTCCAGTATATAGGCGTTACACCCACCAACTGTCCCCGGCGCCGTGTAATCCCATCAATGGCCAAGACCCAGAGACCAGGAAATATAACTGAAAAATAAATAAATACACAAAGGCTGGGTGGGTGCCAGGGTGGCTCAGTGGCCAGAAAAATCCACCTCGCAGCAGTGAGGCCACGGCATTTGCATGCTCAGAGTATGGGCTGCCAGTACTGCTGCCTGGGACCCCCCCCAATACTGCCCCCGTGCCACAAGGAACCGCCAGCTCACAGCCGCTGAATACCAGCACCACAATTCAAGGGTGCAGCCTCTGGAAAGAGAGAGCGTGGCCAGGACCATGGCCCCTGGTGAGTGCTCCCCCAGAACCCGCACACTCACCACCACTCAATGAGTGTGGCTCCTGCAGCTGGGGAGCGCAGCGGCAGCAATGCTGGGTAAGGAGGAAGGACCTTTCAGCATCACATCACAGGAGCCATACGAGGACACAAACAAGGCCAATGACAATGATGCTGGTTTCGGTTGCTTGTCTGTCTAACTGACTTGGGGTAAGACCCAAAAGCAAGGCTTCCGCTGCAGACAAGAAGACAAAGGAGTGGCCCTGAGATACAAGTTCTGTCCCTCTCTGGGATTCCCAGACTGAGCGTCTCACTCTGAGCAGGCGTCCTGGGGGGCTCTCAGCTCGTCCCCAGTCTTCCCTTCTTGCACATACCCACCCTCTAATTGAGGGCTTTGGGGCTATAGAGACAATACAGGGAGGGCATGTGCCTTGCATGAGCCAATCGGGATTCGATCCCCGGCATCCCATATGGTTCTCAAATACCACCAGGAGTGATTCCAGAGCACAAAGCCAGGAGTAACCACTGGGCATCAGCAGAAGTGACCCATAAAACAGAAAGAAAAAAAAAGTGAGGGAACGACTAGTAAAGCTCTTAGAACCCAGGAGACAACATAATTCTTCTTTGACAAACTGAAAAAATGAAGCCCAAGGACTAAGACAGGGCAGGGCAGCGGAACCATAGAATTAAAGCACGCACAGCCTTTAAAATGTCTCACTCCAGAACACAGGGGATTGCCCTGCCACAGAGACAGGGGGGATGGGGGGATGGGGGTGGGAGGGATATTATCCATGGTGGTGGAAAATGGGCACTGGTGGAGGGATGGGTATCTGATCATTGTATAATTGAAACCAAAGCACAAAAAATTGTAAATCTACAACTTTAAAAAAAATAAAATAAAATAAAGGGAAAAAAAATAACAAAAAAAAAAATGTCTCACTCCATTCTTGGGTGTTAGTCTCCTATTTTGTTACTTTATGTTCCCCAGATGAATGCAATCTTTCTATGTCTGTCCCTCTCTTTCTGACTCATTTCGCTTAGCATGATACTTTCTATGTAGTACCACTTGTATGTAAATTTCATGACTTCATCTTTTCTAACAGCTACATAGTACCAGGAATTTTACTCCATGGCATGGAGGCCAACCACACATGCTAGGGGAAAAGGGAGCTCAGATAGAGAAGGGAGCACCAAATAAAGGGTGTTGGGAGGATCCTCCCAGGATGGGAGAAGCATGCTGAAGGTAGACTATAGACTGAACATGATTGCCACTCAATGCCTCTTTTGCAAACCACAGCACCCAAAAGGAGAGAGAGAACAGAAGAGAATGCCCTGCCACAGAGGCAGGGTGGGATGGGCGGGATAGGGGGTGGGAGGGATACTGGGATCCGTGATGGTGGGAAATGGGCACTGGTGGAGGGATGGGTATTTGATCATTGTATAATTGAAACCCAAGCACAGAGATTTGTAGGTCTACAACTGTACCTCATGATGTCTCACTAATAATAATAATAATAATAAAAAATGTCTCACTCCAACAGCACAAGAGCCTGAGGTCTGGGTTCAAAGTCCAGAGCCCACTGGTCTGCTGAGACCACCCAGAGTGCCCCCTGAGCACAAAGCTGGAAGAAGCCCCCAAGCACTGCAAGATTTGGCCCCCAAACAAAACCAGAATATCTAACTCCAATTCAAAACATCTTTCTTCTTCTATTTTCTCCCTTGAAGGTGCCCATGGGGAGTGCAGCTGGGGCTCCACAGACAGTGCTCAGAGTCTATTCCTGGTTCTGGACTCAGGAATCACTCTAGTGGGGTCTCATTGGGGTTCAGATTTACATAAGGCAAAGGCCTTAATTCCTGTCCTATCTCCCCAGAAACAACTTTCTTTGTTTTTTTTCTTGCCACACCCAGCAGTGCTCAGGAGGACTTACTCCTAGCTCTGTGCTCAAGAATCACTCTGGTGGGGTTCGGGGGACCATACATGATGCCGGGGATCAAACCCAGGTTAGACATCTGGAAGGCAAGCACCTTAACCACTGTGCTATCGCTCTGGTCCAATATCATCTTAAAATAAACTGTAAACCTCAATATATTTGCTTTAACTATTAATAGATTTTTATTTGTAAAGATTCTAAAGAAAGCATCCTTTCTGTGGGATGCTTCTGGAGATTCAAACTCTACTCTAATCAACAGTTCACTAATTCATTCTTTAAAATATCTGGTCAAGTGCTAAAAGATACTATCATTACTGTTCCCATTTAAAACATATATAAACGAATCTCAGTAGATTGGATTATGAAAATGAGTACCTGAGACTGCTTGGCCTCTTTCTTTGTATCTTCAGAAAGCGAAGCAAATGCTGGAAAAGAGGAAATATTTTTACATTAAAATGAGCAATTAAGACTTATTCTCACATTCAACAGTTTTGCTTAGAAGGAAGAAAAAAAAAACGGATGCTTCACTAGGACACAATGTTCTCATTCCTCAACAGCCGCATTGCTGCAAACAAGTACTTCTGACTGCCTTCCTCTCCAGACCAAAAATTTTCATCAGTGCGGAGCCCAGCTGCTTAGGCTACCAAGCTAAAGAAATACTACGCTGAAGAAAGTAAATCTCTGTGTCTGCAGAAATAAATCACAAAAGAGATGTGGACACAATACAACTCCCAAGAAACCTCAATTCAGGGGCTTCTTCTGCAAACAACTCCTGAGAGTCCAGGGGACCTAGTGGGGACCTACTCAGCAGCCGGTCTAAATCTGGAGCACTCAGGACTGACAGCATGTTGCAGAAGCTGTGGCCAGACCAGGCAGCCAGAGAGAGTCAACAGAAGCTGTTAAAGGGGTGTGAAGGGACTCACCACCATTCCCCACCCATAGGGATTTCATGTTTCGGAGTGAGAACCTGTAACTAGAAAAAGCTATCCCTAGAGATCTATGCTCTGCACTTTTAAATAATAAGGATGACAGTAACACTTTGAAAATATAAAGGTGAAACAATAAAATAAATAGGAAAGTTAGTTAACCTGACCAAAACCGGTACCTTCATTTGACAGTGAAGAGCTAAGAAGAAAGCGTTTATTTCATGGTTTGCTCTCTCCGGTGGGCATTCCCCAGAGACAATGGGCAATGCCCCAGAGTCACAGTGTGCTAAAAGGTGGGACAGGCAACCCCATGGAGTAATGATGCTGTGCCTAGTGTCAGTAGTGGAATTCCCCAGGTGCCAGAGGAGACCCTGCCCGAAAGAGGAGGCAGACTTGTCTCTGGGTCTCAGCAATCTTACACCTCAAGTTCTCTCTCCATAACATTTGCTCACAGGAAATTAGTTAAGCACGTTCACACGAAAAAGCAAATGATTAGGATGGTTTAATCAGCTCCACTTGTGAAATGACATTTCAGAAGACAGGATGAAATTGAAAGGTAAGCCATGCGAACCTCTATGTGTGAAACTCAGAGGATGGAAGGAATTCCAGGGAATCTCCTGAAAAGTCATCCCCCGCCCCCCTTCCCCACTGGGCTTTATGGCCATCGCTGAGATATAGATGTACATGCCTTACGCGCAGCCATCCCGGATGAGCCGGGTTCGATTCCTCCGCCCCTCTTGGAGAGCCTGGCAAGCTACCGAGAGTATTCAATATGCCAAACACAGTAACAAGAAGTCTCACAATGGAGACGTTACTGGGCCCACTCGAGCAAATCGATGAACAACGGGAGGGCAGTGCTTTGCTTTGCTTTGCTGTTACATATATACACACACATTTTTATATATCTATTTGTTTGCTACTTGTGTGTTATTAGTCTACTGTAAGCTCTGTAGGCCTACACACACACACACACACACACACACACACACACACACGTATTTTTATTTACTGTTTGCCCTGGAACCAAGGTCACAGTCAGCACATAGAAGAAGCTCCATAAAAATGTATCCAATAAATGTAAGGGTTTTTTGTTTTGGGTTGTTTTTTTTTTTGGTTTTTTGTTTTGTTTTGTTTTTTGTTTTTGGGTCACAGCCAGCTATGCTCAAGGGCTACTCCTGGCTCTGTACTCAGGAGTTACTCCTGGCAGTACTTGGGGGACCATATGAGATGCCAGGGATTGAACCTGGGTCAACCGTGTACAAGGCAAACGCCCTATCCACTGTACTGTCGCTCCGGCCCCAATAAATATGTCTTTACAATACCGATGTGATGGTGTTCCTCTCTCCCTATCATTTTCATTGGGTCTGATCTAGTTTCTTGCTTTTCATACATACACACAGAGAAAACAAGGCAAAAAAAAGTCATTAAGTCCTAAGAATTGATTTAACCCCAAATAATCTTTACATTGTAATTCTGAATGCTTAATACACTGGTTTCATTTACCACCAAAGTAGCATGCACATTTAAAATCCGCAAGAATGGGGACTGGAGCAGTAGCACAGGGAGTAGGGCATTTGCCTTGCATGCGGCCGACCCAGGTTCAATTCCCAGCATCCCATATGGTCCCCCTGAGCACCGCCGGGGTAATTCCTGAGTGCAGATCCAGAAGTAACCCCTGTGCATCGCCAGGTATGACCCAAAAAGCAAAAAAATAAATAAAATTCTCAAGAATATTTAAAAATAGACTAATAAACATCATATAGAGATGCTGTGATATATTAACAGCACCCAGAACCAGACAACTGCTAAACTGCTTCTGACAACTTGCAAAATAGAAAACCATTCTCGTCAATCTGATAGATGACTCAACCAATGCATTTTCCTGGGGTCAAGGAAACAGAACATCAGCCCAGGATGGGGCCCCTGCACTACCCGGTCGCACTCGCATCGCGGGGAGTAGCCCTGGAGGCTCCAGGCACCTGGTGGTCCCCAGCCCTGCATCCGTGGGTCCTTGCAGTGATTGATTCAGTAATGCCAGGAGGGACACCTGGGTATCCAGAGTACCACTTAGGAAGAAAAAAAAAATCCCCATCATTTTCTCTATCCCATCAATCCTGAATTTCAGACAAGAACAGTCAAAGGCTTTCTGGCTCAAATTCCTTTCATTAAGAAAAATAAATAAATAAACCTCACAGGGAAGAAAGCAAGGGGGGAGAAAAGAATGGGAAGAAAGGGGTGATCAGGCATCAGGGCTTCAGTTATACTGGTGATATGGATGAGGACATATAGCCATAGATCCAAAACACAGACTCTAGAAAACTGAAAACATTAGATCTAAGCTGCAAGCACTGAAACTGTAATGTCCTTGTCAAGTTGACAGGCAGGGATAGGATGGGGGTGAAGGTGGGGAGAGAATATGGGAACACTGGCAGGGGGAGTTACACTGGTGGTGGACTGGTGTTGAAATATTGTATTCCTAGGTCTGGAGCGATAGTACAACAGGGAGGGTGTTAGCCTTGCACCAGCCCACCCTGGTTTGATCCCCCGGCATCCCATATGGTCCCCCAAGCACTGCTAGAAGTAATTCCTGAGTATAGAACTAGGAGTAGCCCTTGGACATCATTGGGTGTGACCCAAAAAAAAGCCAAAAAAAATCCTAAAATTCAACCATCAATAACTTTGTAAATCACAGTTCTTTAATTTACCAAAAAAAACTTCTGAACTAAACACATTTGTCTCATCATCCAACAACCAGCATTTAGTCGCACCTTTTTTTTTTCTTTTTGGGTCACACTTAGCGATGCACAGGGGTTACTCCTGGCTCTGAACTCAGGAGTTACTCCTGGCGGTGCTTAGGGGACCATATGGGATGCTGGGAATCAAACCCGGGTCAGCCGCGTGCAAGGCAAATGCCCTATCCGCTGTGCTATTTCTCCAGCCCCGTCGCACCTTCTTATAAGGTTGGAGAGCTAGGTGCAAACAGCAAGCCACCATCAGAAGGCCTAGCCCCTGAGAACACACCCAGATCCGAAGGGAAAGTATTGGAACTGAGAACTGGATCAGAACATTGCTTGTGCCTCAGCTTTCGTAAACAAACACCCAAGGGGCGCTGGTTTGGTGTGCAGGATCCCTGAGCACCATTGGGAGTGACCCCCAGGACCTGGAACCAGGAGTAGCCCCTCAACACTGCCAAGTGGGCCCAGGAACAAAAACAATATAGAGCAGCTAAATACAAGTTGCCAGGGTCACTGAGTAAATTAACAGCTACTGGGGGAAAGATGTTGCCAATAAATAATCTGAAAATTCCTGCTTATCATTTTCATTTCATTTCATTTCATCATCCTGTTATTCGTCGATGGCCTCGAGCAGGCCCCAGTAACGTCTCTTTCATCCTAGCCCTGAGATTGTATTCAAGGCTCTTTAGGAGAATGAGACCCATCTTTGTTACTGGTATTTGGCATATTTGGTAGGCCACGGGGAGTTTGCCAGACTCTGCCCTGTGGGCAGGCTACATTCGATAGCCTGCAAGTTTGTCCAAAGTAGGAATGAGATAATAAGATGTCATTAAAAAAAGTTCTGATAAGATGTCGCGCGGCCGTGAATGCGGCCGCGCGGTTCCAGGATCTGGATTTTATAGTCTCTGAGTCTTGGCCGTTGATGGAATTACACGGCACCAGGGGCCAGGTGGTGGGCGTGACCGCCGCCTACTGGAATTTGGAGGATCTGGGTGGAGGATGCGCGACTCCAATCCGAGTAGGCTTGGAGATCTCGGCCCTGGAACCTGCGTGGATTTGTCCCTCTGCCAGTACCTTCATGTGTGCTGAGAGTGGTCTCAGCATGGTGGTGGCTGGTCCTGGAGGTCTTCGGCTGCCGGAGCCCTGGTCGGGGCGGGGAGGAAAGCTCAACCTGCTCCCCTCCAAGGGGCCCTGGCGAGGAACAGCCAGGCGCGGGGGCAGGAGACTGCACTGTTCTCGTCCGGGAGCTGGAGCTCCCCTCCCCTCCCCTCCCTGCTTATCATAATCAAGATATCATCGCATTATTCAAACAAGGCTTAACTGAGAAGGGGTGAATTAAAAAAATACTTTTTTGTTCTCCCCAGGAATACAAAGGCCTGGAGTTACTATGACCTTTTTTAAATTCTGTTTCTTCCCTTCATTCTGCTGTGAAATTAAGAACTCCTTTTTCCCAAGACACAAACGAATTATATAATATTTAAAGCGGTGACAAGAAATGCACCAGGGTTACTGATTAGAGCTCATCATATGGTGACACAATACCTATCAGGTGACCATAAGTTAATTAATTAATTTAAAATTGGAGGCTGGAAAGATAGTACCATGGGTTCGTTGCTCCTGGCACTTCATATCACACCCCGAGCCCCACCAGGAGGAATCCTTGATTGCAGAGGCAGAAGTAAGCCCTGAGCACTGCCAGGTGTGGCCCCAAGACAAAAAACAAACAAGCAAAAAAGAACAAAATAAATTTTAAAAATAGTTTTA